AGGGCCCCTCCTTCATCTGGGACCCCCTCCACACTCCAAGGTCCTCAAAGGCTGCCCCCCCCAATGCCACACAAACACCCACCACCAGCGTCACAGTTTCCAATCCCTGACCACCCACAATCACATTGCTCTGGGACCCCTAAGGCCTGGACATATCCCCTTTCCCATGGTCTCCAGGCTCCAGGTCTAGCCTGCAACACTGTCTCAAAACAACCAAACATCTCTCCCATTTCCCTTTGATAAAAAAATTAAGGTAGGGAGGCCTGGACCCTGAACAGTCAGAGAGACACAAAGAAACCGAACAAACAGGTGTTGCAATCTGGGGATGAGACCTGGCGGTCTGTCTGCCCAAGGCTGCCCCATAACCTGGTGGCATCGCCATCCCCTCCCTCCCCACAGTGGAGGAACAAGAGCCAGGGTTGGTTAGCAGGGAGTGGGGAGGGGGAGAAGCCTGAATTTGGCCGCCCCGGAGTCACCGAGAGGGGCTCCTGTCCCGCGTGCCTCAGCAGGACAGAGGCGCTCTCCTGGCTTGGTGCTCCGGCAGTTGCAGCGGGCGCTCCAGCGGGGTTTCGGAGCCAGGCTGCTGGTCGAGGAGAACCTTCCCAGCCCTCCCAGCCCACGATGCCGCACCTCACCCTGGCCAGCACCTCCTGCTGTTGGACGCTCAGGTCCCCGACTCGGCCGCTCATGGTGCCCTCAGGCGTCTGCAGGCAGCAGCAGCGACCGCCTGCTTTTGCCAGGCCGGCCAGATGTTGCTGGTCCTGCCCCGGACTGGGGACCGCCGGTCCTGCCCCGCCCCGCCCCGCCCCGACGTGTTCTCGCCTACCCTGGGAAGTTTATACTGTAGTTCCCAAGCCCACCCTACCTGGGGCGGGCAGGTGACCCTCCCGAGGAGATCCAAAGCACAGACTCGGTCTGGGCAGCAGGTGGCTCCCACCTGTGCCTTCTCACTTCAAGGGCAACTACTGGCTCTGGGGCTGCGGAGGAGGGACTTGGGGAGTGGGAGTGCCTAAGAGACACCTGGGCTTGTTTCCGGGAACACAGCAGGAGCCCCTTCTGAGCAAAATGGAGGAACTTTTTATAAACCTGGCTCAACCTGCTAGGACATCACCAGGGCTTTTGCCTAAGGGACCCCCAAGCTCCATCCATGATCTTGAACACAGGCTGGGCCCTGTCAGTGTTCATGGGGGCTGCGTTCATGAGGGTTGAGCCCTTGTTTGCAAAAAGATTCCAGCCCTCAAATGGTCAGAAGGATTAGACAAGCTGATGCACCCGGGGTTAGGCTGGCACCTGTGCCCAGCAAGTGTTGGCTGTCAGGAGTATAGTCTCATAACTTCATTATTACTGAGGCTGTCGCAGAGCTGGAAGTTGCCGGGGTGGATATCCTGAGATGGCCCAGGTGGCGAGCCCTGGGCAGGCTCCACACTGGGAAGGCCACGTGGGAGGTGGCCGGGGTGGAGTGACAGAGGGGTTGGGAAGCCAAGGAGAGTCAGTGGCTGACAAATGAGAGCCAAGTGGAGGTCACACTGGGAAAGGTGAGAAAACAAATGGGCTGGCTGTGTCTGGGCAAGAGAGGAGCAGGTGGGAGGTGAAGTTGAAGGGGCCGTAAAACTGGGCCCTGGAACTTTCCCCCTCTATTCTCTCACCCGGTCAAACCCAGTTCTAGACTCAAGATGACAGGTGCAGCGAGCCACGTGTGACCCTCCAGCGCTGAAAAACGTGGCTCCTCGTGAATGGAGATGCACTGTAAGTGCAAAATACGAACCACACTTTGATGACCTAGAACTAAAACGTGGAACCGACTTTGTTAATTTTACTTAAGTGGTTACGTGTTGAAATGGTGTTTTTTTAATATGTTGGGATGAATAAAAGATCAAAGTTATTTTCACCTGTTTTTTTTAATTTTTTAAAAATAATTTCAAACCTTTTAAAATTGATACATTTTACTTTTTTAAAAACTCTGTTAAATAAGAGACAGAATGTAAAAGTAAAGTCACTTTACTTTTTAAATCTCTCTTACCCAAGTGGTACCTGTGTTACAGTCAATGACCTATAGTGACATGTTATTATCACCCAAAGTTCCTAGTTTACCACAGGGTTCTTGTTTGGTGTTGTATATTCTCCAGGTTTTCACAATGGTTTAGTGACACGTATCCACCATTGTAGCATAATACAGAACAGTTTCACTGCCATAAGAATCCTATGTGAATCCCTTTTACTTTAAAAAATGTAGCCACCAGAAAATGTAACAATACATGTGTGGCTCCCATTTGTGACTTGTGTTATATTTCATTTGGACAGAGTTTGCCCTGGAGAGGTTTTTAAATATTAAAAGAAAGAAATCACCAAAAAAAAAAAAAGCTAAAAGAAAGTATAAATGACTCCACATCTCTGGAAGGGCATGGTTAGTGCTTAGGAGCAGTGACAGAAGTCATGAAGGGAAAGTAAATGATTTGACTACATACAAAGGTAAAACTCTGTTAAATAAGAGACAGAATTATGGCACTAAGTCAGCATTTGCAGATGTGAGTTTGGGAAAAATAAAATGTACAAAAATTGATATCTTGGCCAGGCGCGGTGGCTCACACCCATAATGCTAGCACTCTGGGAGGCTGAAGCAGGTGGATCACCTGAGCTCAGGAGTTCAAGACCAGCGTGGGCAAAAGAGAAACCTTGTCTCTACTTAAAATAGAAGGAAAAAACAACGAAAAACAAAAAAACTAGCTGGGTGTCCTGGAGGGTACCTATAGTCCCAGCTACTTAGGAGGCTGAGGCCAGAGGTTCACTTGAGCCCAGGAGGTTGAGGTTGCTGTGAGCTATGATGCCACAGCATTCTACCCAGGGCAACAGAATGAGACTCAGTCTCCAAATAAATAAGTGAATGAACAGAAAAAAATTGGTATCTTCATAAGGAGCTCATGCAAGTTGATAAGAAAAATAGTAAGGCATCAAGAAACAAATGGGCAAAGAACTCAAAACACCAATTTTCAGAAATATATCCTGTGCACTTATCAAGTGAATAAGTGCTCAAGCTCCAGGGTCATCGAAGAAGTGTGTATTCAAGCAATGAGATTTTTTTTCCTCTGATGAGTCAGCAAAAAACTCAAACAAAATAAACACATACACACATACCCTTTTTTTTAAAAAAAATTATATTAATAATAAAGTCAGTTAGAAGTTGGTGAAATGGAAACTTTCAAACATTCCTGGCAGGAGGATAAAATTAATCCATCTTTTCCAGGAAATTACTTGACAATGCACATTAGCATCCTTAAATATTTGACCACTTTGCCCAGTAATAACCCTGATAGAAAGCATTTTAAGCTTTAAAGTATTAGTTCATTGTTAACCGGAATATTGGAAACAAATTTTAAGAAAACTACAGCATTTAATGGGATTGATGAGTTTATAGAAATATGGGAAAAATACAACAAAACAATTTGGAAAAGATAGGACCACATGATATGTGCCTTCTGCTTCTGGAATGTAAACGCAAACCTGCTCCGTAAAAGAAAGGCTGGACAGGACGAGAGATTAGTCCCAACTTCCTCTAGTTTCTGTTTATGTGTGTATGTGTTTTTCTTTGAGTTTCCATCGTATTTATTTATTTCTTTATTGAAAGAGACAAAAATCTCACTCTGTTGTCCAGACTAGAGTGCAGCAGCACATTTATACATCACTGTAACCTCAAATTTCTGGTCTCAAGGGATCCTCTCACCTCGGTTTCCCAAGTAGCTGGGACTACAGGCATGTACCACTACACTAGGCTAATTTTTCTTTTCTTTCTTTTTTTTTTTTTTGTAGAGTTGATTTAACTTTTGCTAGTTTCTGAGGAATGGGAAAAGTCCTATTTAAAAATGCCACAGGTAACAAGTCACTTCCAAAGATGCTTTCATTTAACTCCCACTTACAGGCACTTTCTACTGACCAGGCCCTGCTCTAAGGATTTGTAAATGTTACCTCAGTGCTGTCCAATAGAAAATAATAGGAGCCACACAAGTAACTTTAAATTCTTTAGCAGACCAGCACTGTGGTTCATGCCTACAATCCCAGCACTCTGGGAGGCTGAGGCGGGAGGATCACTTGAAACCAGGAGTTTGAAGTCAGGAGTTTGAGATCAGCCTGGACAACATAGCAAGACCCTATCCCTACAAAAAAGATAAAAATTGGCTGGGCATGGTGGCATGTGCCTGTAGTTCTAGCTGATCTGAAGACAGAAGTAAGAGGAACCCAACAGCCCAGAGTTTAATGTTTTTGTTTTTTGAGACAGAGTCTCACTCTGTTGCCCCGGGCTAGAGTGCCATGGCATCAGCCTAGTTCACAGTAACCTCCATTTCCTGGACACAAGCAATCCTTCCACTTCAGCCTCTTAACTAGCTGGGACTACAGGTGTCCTCCATGACATCCAGCCAGTTTTTCTATTTTTAGTAGAGATGGAGTCTTGCTCTTATTCAGGCTGGTCTGAAACTCCTGAGCTCAAGCAATCCACCTGCCTTGTCCTCTCAGAGTCCTGGAATTATAGGGATGGGGGACTGCAGCTGGCCAGCTAGAGTTCAATGTTACAGCAAGCTATGATCGTGTCACTCTGCACCCCAGCCTGGGCAACAGAGAAAGACTCTGACTCTAGGAAAGAAAAAGAGTCTCTAGCAGCCACATAAAAATTCATTTTAATAATATATCCAAACACTATTAGTTTATTACATGACCAACATGACTAACAAATTAGATTAATGATCTCATTAATAATTAATAGTGGGATAGCTTTCTTTTTTTTATACCAAGTCTTCAAAGTCCAGTGTGTGTTTAATACAGCACATTTTAATTTCAACACACCACATTTTGAGCGTTTAATAGGCTCCATGAGGTGTTATGGGTTGACTCGTGTCTCCCCCCAATTCCTGTGTTGAAGTCTCAATTCCCCCTTACCTCAGAATGTGCCCTTGCCCTGGAAACAGGGTCACTGCAAGTGTAGGTAGAGGCCATATTGGAGTGGGGGCCCTTTGGATGCAGACGTGTGCACAGGGAGTGCCGTGGGGAGGTGAAAGCGGAACTGGGGGTGATGCTTCTGCTGGTCAAGGAGCGCCAAAGATTGCCCCCCAACTGTCAGGAGCTAAGAGGAGACAAGAGGTGGATCCTTCCTCACAGGCCTCAGAGGGAAGTAACCCTGCTGGCGCCTTGGCTTTGGACTTCTGGCCCCCAGAACTGTGAGCGACTCAAATGCCATCCTTTGAGCCTTTCAATGTGAGGCAGCCCTAGTGCAGTGAGAGACGTAGGGAGCAGTTGCCGCCCTGGCCAGTGCAGAGTTAGCGCGTCTGATCCCTGTGGCTATGCTGTGCGGTGGGACCTGCCATTATCCCCCTTTATGGACTGGGAAACCGAAGCTCAAAGAGCTTCCTGTGGTCTTGTGGCTGACAAGCAGCAAACCCAGGATGGGAATCCAGGCAGGCTGGTGTGGGGCCAGATGTGGCCACTGCACCCTTTCCTTCTGCTTTCTGAGTTCCCATGGACTCAAGTCACCTGCAGGTCCCTGTCTCTCCAGGCAGATGCCCCCCCACCAGCCTGCAGCACACAGGCACCTCCTCCGGCCTCTGATGACTCTGCTCCTCTGTGATGTGTCCTTGTCTCCCAGCCCCCATTCCGCCTCTGACCCAAGAGCTGAGATCTGGACTTGGATGACAGTGTTGTCACGGTGTGCAAACTTCATCCCACACCTTCCCTCCCACTCTC